AGTCACAGGCTGTTTCATTTTTCAATACATGATCTGAAGATTATGTTGAAGCATGAAACAGGTAGTCACTGCTTGGTGTTAATCTCAGTATATAAATCATGGCCATATGCCAGTATAAGAATAAATATTTTATTTTGAGGTAGGAGTTACCTTCTACCCCTAGAGTATATAAGTTAAACGATAGCTTGGTTCTATAGGTCCACCAGGTGACTGCTGCTACATGAAATTCTGTTTAGCAGATTTTGGTATTGATAATATTATTATATTTAGGCTGTGTCAATTTTGGCATTGAGCCCCCAGTTTAATTGATATTTTAAGCTTTAGCTTACCATTTGTGTGTATATATATATATATATATATATATATATATATATATATATATATATATATATATATATATATATATAGTTGAAACGGTTAGATGCAATCACATGTTCTATGCTAACAGTTTCTTTTCTTGTTGTTTTTCTCTTGTGGAACTCTCTTTTGGCTTCTTGATTTCCAGTCAAGTTTAATCTTTAAAAATTTAAATGCAAAGACAGTTGTTACCTTCTGTCTTTAATTCCTGTTCTTTTACTGTTCTCTGTCTTTAATAATGTTTTCTTATATTAATTCACACTCAATAACTTCCTGCATGTTAGTGACTTTATTGCCTTGCTTGGAATGAAATGATTAAAAAAAAACTGCATATGTATTAAAAAACTGTACATACATAAATGCATATATATATATATATATATATATATATATATATATATATATATATATATATATATGATGAAAACAAATAGAGTACACTTCCAAAACTCGTAACATTTAATTTAAAAGAAGGCTCAGTACATAGTAGACTAATATTATTTATTTTAGGATATTACAACAAAAATATGTAAGAATTGTTGTACAATGGCAGACATGTTTTGATGCCTACCAATGCGTCTCTTCAGGCAATTGTAAATTACTGGCAAGTGAACAATTAATTTGGTTTCAAAAGCAAAATACATCCTCTTTTATTGAAAAAAAAAATAGGATGTATTTTGCTTTGGAAACCAAACTTGTGTAAGTCATTCAGTAAAACCCTAGAATTTACTGAACACTTCCCAATTGAAGAATCCATCCATCCATCCATTCATTATATATATATATATATATATATATATATATATATATATATATATAGGTTGTATCTGGGCAGTAATTTTTCATTCATTCAGGTTTGATGGAAAACCAACAAAAGTTCTTTGTTTAAGATTTCAGAACTTTTTAGTTCTTCACCAAACCTACACATGTGCACACCCACATCTAAGGGAGGGGGTGATATTTGTTGCAATTGACTTGCGGATGATGATTATTCTAATGCATCTGCTGAGCTTTGTAGCTACCTAAATCACAGACATTAACCTTGATCATTTGTAAATCTGCTTTTTCAAACATGGCTGCTGCTAATACTCTGTCATAATGTAACCAGATTATCATCCAATTTTATAATTCTTCTAAATAGATTCAAATTTTGCTTTTCTTTGTGAAATTGATGCTAACTGCTCACAGCCTCTGGAAATAATAGCCTCATTCTTTATTCTTCCTTCAAATTATTTTTTTCTTCACCTTCAGTTCACTTCCATTAACTTAGCTGATCATTCATTCTGTTCTTATCTGCTTTGTATACTTGCTTATATCACCATTTTCAAAAATTATATTTAAACATCCATGAATGACTATCATAAAGAAATTCCACTTATTGCCCGGGAAAAGTATGCCTTTAATTAAAATTGCAAAGATGCTTTCAGAAACATTTTATTCTTAATTTTTATTTATTTACTTTTTGCATAATATATATTTTTTTGTTTTTCATTCATATATTTTCCCATTCATTTTCTACAAGTTTACCCAAGAAATCCTTCTGGCTGCTTAGTACATGGAATAAACAGAAATTTATATATATATTGAGTATATGATATAATGTTGAATATATGAAATAGTATGGAATTTAATGAAATAACAGGCAATGCTCAGAATAACCAACAATACAAGAATTATCACAGAATTTATAAAATATTATGGAATATATGTAATAGCAGAGACTGTTTAGAATAACTAAGAATACAGAAAATAGCACGGAATATATGTAATAACAGAAAATGCTTAAAATAACCAAGAATATAAGAATTATCACAAAATACATGAAATAATATGGAATGTATGAAATAACAAACAATGCTCAAAATGACCAATATAAGAATTATCACAGAATATATAAAATATTATGAAATATATGACTCCCTTTTTGTTCCCAGTTCACCATTTTCTTCCATTCTTCCAACATCTTCACCTGTTTTCTTTTTAATTCATTCTTTCATTCATTCATTCAGTCTTTCTTCCATTATACCTTTTAGCTTCTCTTATATTTATTCCAACTTATTCTGCTGGATTGTCTAAAAGTATATATTTATTTTTCTCATAAATAAATGGATTGCTCCACTAACCAAACAGTACATTATAAATATTGGCATGTTACAACAGTCAGTTTTCAGTTTGTACATGACAACTGCCATATGCATGAAACTCAAAGTTGCACCAGATAATGAGGAAGAAATGTTTATTTGTTCTTACTTTATATATATCTATATCTATCTATCTATATATATATAGAGAGAGAGGAAAGGTGTATGACAAAGAAAGCTGGTCCACTGTGTCATACTAGAAGATTTTTTTTGTATATACATATATATATATATATATATATATATATATATATATATATATATATATATACAGAGAGAGAGAGAGAGAGAGGAAAGTTGTATGACAAAGAAAGCTGGTTCACTGTGTCATACTAGATTTTTTGTCATATATATATATAGATAGATAGATAGATAGATAGATAGATAGATAGATTTCAAATCTCTTTTTTTGATTTTAAGTATAAGCACCCTTTTTGTTTGCTTTTTCCTCAAAACTTCCTCGTAGCTCATATGTTCAGTCCATGGTATTCTCAGCATCCTTCTGTAGACTCACATTTCTTTTATCAATTTTCTTCTTCATCATTCAGGAGATTGTCCAGCATTTACTGAAAATAAATTATCTACTGCTCTCATTTGAATCATTTCTTGAATACAATATTTAAAACCCAGGGGAAATGAAAATGATTTGGTTCCATGGATGTAGCATAGCATGTCCTAACTGTAAAGATCTGAACTGACAGAAATAAAGAATGAAGCTCATTTGAATATTTACCATAGAAATAAAGATAGAGCTGTGATAGGCTTGTGATGTTGCCTCTGATAGAGGCTACAGAGTGGAGAATAAGTTATTCCCTACAAGATCGTGTAAACAATTTTGAACTCTGTCAAAGCTGGAAATTGATGATTGAGCAGCTCTAGTTCATATATCTTTCATGTTTGATCTAATTTGACTCTTGTAAATGTAAAGCATGGCAGAAGGAGATCAAGTAATTTGTGGGGAGATATAATTAGGTGACCATTATTCCAGCATCTTTAGATTGTATACATGAGTTTCAGTTGAGGCCTGGAGTGAACTCTTGACCTGACAAACATTCAAAGCGTGATGCCTTACTGAGAATGAAGCTGTTTATTGCAACTAAAGAAACTCAAGGCCTCAACAATAACAGGAACATAAGAATCTAAGTATACAGATTTTTTTTATCCATTATTTCTTATTAGTATAAACATTATTTTTAATGGGTACACATTTGAGTTGACATCCATTTTTTTGTTTATTAATAACAAAGCCAGTGACATTAATAACAGCCCCAAAATTTGCACTCATTAAAAATAATTTTTACGGCAATAAGAAACAATGTTGGATAAAAATCCATTAAAAATGTGTTGTTTATGTTTCAGGTACAAAACTGAAGCTAACAGATATTGATTCACAGAAGTCCCCTCAAGAAACATGCTTTCCTTAAATAGACAATTCCAAACTTATTTTGTCAGGCTGGTCTTGTTGCTGAATAGGCACACTTGGGCTCAAAAAGTGGTTTCCTTGATGGAAAAAAAGGGATGTAGTTTCGATTCTTGCCAGAGACACAATTTTTCTTCAGTAGGACTTCTCAAGGAGGCGCAGTGGAGTAATGGATAGTGGCTCAGATTGAGGAATTGGAGAGCTGAGTTCAAATTCCAGTTGAAACCGTTACATTCACTTATGTGCTAATACCCTTGGGAAAGGTATGAATCCTCTTCTTCTACCCCCAGCTATGGGTAAATAGCAAGACAGACCAGGTTCTATAGCTTTGGATGGCAACTGGTCTACTGCAGAAAGAAATGGCAACTACTGTGATAAAATATCTGCCTTGTCAGTCATGTATCGAAAGATACATGATCACCTAAGCGTGTATCATGCATGGCACATAACTGACTGACTGACTTTCCAGTCGAATCCATTACATTCACTTACGTGCTAATACCCTTGGGAAAGGTATGAATTCTCTTCTTCTCCCCCCCAGTTATGGGTAAATAGCAGGATGGACCGGGTTCTATAACTTTGGATGGCAACTGGTCTACTGCAGAAAGAAATAGCAACCTACCGCAAGAAAAAATCTACTTCGTCAATCATGTATCAAATGATACATGATCACCTAAGCATGTATCACGTATGGCATGTAACTGAGGACTTCTCAATTTAGGCCAGTTGTTATTAATTTCATTGTTTAATAAAATTACATAAAAAAAGCATGGATTGCAACTGAAACACATGTATCTACTAAAAATAATGTTTATAGTAATAATAAACTTATGTATAAAAAAATGTATAGCGAACATGGACCTTCATGTCCCCAAAAATGCAGTATTTCAAAAGGACAGTTTTTCCATTAACACTGTTATTATTTTAACTACATTCACTCTCTCAACAATATTTTTGAACAAAATTATTAAAAATTATTTACCTTTATAAAGATTTATCATTTACAATTTTATAAAGAAATAAATGTGTAAAGAAATCTTTTTATTGAAAAAATTATTAAGAATTACAAAATTATCAAAATATGCAAACACCAGTTCCCATACTATCACCGAAGTTAAGCCACATCAAACTGGGTCAGTACCTAGATGGGTGACCATTTGAGAATATCAGTTGCTTTAAGCTTGGATGTGTAGATGTTGTAATGGATAATAGCTCAGAATTGTTAATTGGAGAGTTGAGTTCCAATTCCCATTGGGTTCATTATATTCACTTACACACAAATACCCTTGAGAAAGGTATGAATCAACCCCTTCCCCTCCCAGCTATGGGTTAATCAGTAAGATTTGTATCACTAAACCATTGTCTCCAAAAAAAAAATATTTTTACAATCTAAAAATATTTTCTGGCTTTAAAAAACTTGCAAAGGGTTCATAAGCCATAGAAAAGGAATGAATCAATGAATCAACCTCCTTGTGAAATTAAAACAAGAAGTTGTATGCTTCGGCCTTCCTCGGGTGATATACATAGAAACAATAAAGATGAGGACAACAGTCCAAACAATGTAAATAATTTAAATAGTTACAATACCTCATCTCAGAAATATAAACAGATATTAAAGGTTTTACTGTTTGTATAATTTGTAAAGGGATTTATTTACATTATACTGAGTTTCTAAAGGCTTTTACTGAATGTACAGCTTATACAGCCATATTTTATATTGAGTTGTTATAGACTGATGTCTTTGTATTGAGTCTATATTGTGTTTAATATTATATACAGAACTTCTGACTTGATCTTCTGCTGAATACATTACATAAATTCTTTATTTTTATATGAAACAGGAAAACTTTTTCTTTTTGCATTTTAGATATTTTAATAATCTAGTCTGGTGCTTTTGCTATGTATTTAGAAATCCTAGATAAAATGCAAAGAAGAATCTGCAATACTATGTCCTGATCTGGCATCTCAGCTTCAGTCACTTTCCCAGCACTATGACATAGCTTCCCTGTGCCTTTTCTATAAATATTTTCATGGTAATTGTTCTGATGAACTTTCTTCTTTGTAAATATTCATTGGGGCTTCATTTTTAAAAATTCTTATTTTTATTCCTCCCCACAAATTGTACATATGGGTACTAGTTGAGACTACATAGAGACTTTGAGGTATTATGGTGACTGTAGTAAGAATTGTAAATAAGAATGTGTTTTGCATAAAGAATATTGTAATATGTTTGAGTCAGTAATCGTGGGTAGCTAAGTTTAAGATAAGACAGATTGAAAACCAGCCTTCCTCTATTTGTCCTTTTGCTGGCTTTGTGCCACATTTTTGTATTTTTAAAAATTAATACTATTTTCTTCTTTGGTACTTTGACTTTATGAATTTAAGTTCAGTGCTAGATTGGCAGCTAGGTTTCATCATTTTACAGTTGAAATGGCTAAGTGTAACCATAAATTCTATGCTAACAGTTTCTTTCCTTGCACTTCTCCCTTGTGGAACTCTCTTCCGGTTTCTGATTTTCCAGTCAACTTTGATCTTGAAAAATTTAAATGCGATGTCAATTATTATTTTCTGCCTTCTTAATTTCTGTTCTTTTATTGTTCTCTCTCCTTAATAATCTTATATTTTTTTCATATTCTCTCACAACCCCTTGCATCTTGTAGTTTTATTGCCTTGCTGAATGTGAAATAATTTTTTTTTAAATTTATTATAAAATTTAGACCAAGTGACAAGTTGGGTGCTGTATAGTATTTTGTTATGCTTTTATGGATTACTGATATAAACCAATTTTTATGGATTACTGATATAAACCAATTTTTATCGACTTCCGATATAAACCAATTTTTATGGATTACTGATATAAACCAATTTTTAAGGAGTCCCAATTTTAGTATATGTGTTTTTTTTTTTTTTGTTTTTTTTTGTTGCTTTTTTTAAGCATTTCATCCCAAGCAAGGCAGGAGTGCGACTAACATGCAGGGGGTTACAGAGAGTGAAAGTGAGAGAAAAAACTGGGTATAATGGAGACTTAGGAAAGGATAAAAGATGAACAGGGTTCAAGTCATCAGAAGATGGTAGTTGACACTGCATTTAAATTTTTGAAGATCGTGGTTATCAGGGAAGCAAGTAAGGTAAAGAGCGTTCCACAGTCGGGAAGTACGAGAAAAGAAACCGTTGAAGCCAACCACGTACTACATTCCGCATGCTCAGGGCATCAGTAACTGAACCAGTCACCCCCACCAGGTATTTTTGGTGAGGAGGGTAGCTAGGCACTTAGCAGGATTAAAAATTAGACCCTCTCAAAGGGCAGACAAACTTTATTATAGAGTCAACAGCATTTGGTACAATCGATTTGACACAACTCCCTAACTATGTATGCAGCCAGTGTGGTGATGACACTGGCCAAGGGTAGTCCCTGGTAGAACCAACAGCTACATATCTGTGACCAAAGTGAGCCTTCAAGTTAGAGGATATCAGTCATTATTTGACCTGGAAAAGGACAGGATCCTCCAGGTCAACTTGCCCATGTCATGCTATGCATGAATGAATACCACTCTGACTTTCAATCCAGATAGGTAGAGTAAA